CAGCGTCAGACAGAGCGAGAGAGCTATTTTTAGGTTATCTACTAACTTTAAAGAACGTAGACACTACTTAAATATTATATACATTATATTTACATACATTTTGTACATATATAGAATCGAGAGAGACAGAAAGATAAACAGATAGATCATGCAATAGGGTCCTTTAAAAAATTTGACCGATGTTCATTCCTTCTAGATCAGACCTGGCAGGTCGTACCTTGTATAGTATGGAACCATTTTCGTCAGCCCCAGACCCAACATTAGCAAGCGCAATATAATGCTATGGACCATCGCTTAGATATCCTTGGGTGTGAGGTTCAATTGTTATAGATATTCTTTGGAAATGGCTTCATGTCCTATCGTAGAAGGCCAAAACATATCAAATCGGTATTTATTTAAAATACTTCAGACAAAACAAATTTCAATAGCATTCTAGAAATACTTACATTGTTCAGTAACCTGACGTCCAGAGGCACTAGGATTTTCCTCCCTTGCATTGCCATAGGCACGTTGTCGTCCACATCTATGACGTGGATGGTGGCGTCATATGATTTGTTGAACAAGACACTTCCTTTGTAGGTCAACTTGCATAACACGGGGACTGTATGCGTCTCTTGTTCCTCTCTGTCCAAGGCTCGAATCAGGGTGACTTCTTGGCTGGTAGAGTCCACTGAAAGACCCACTGTGTTGTCTGAGGAGAGCAGGTTGAATGATATAAGATTATTCTTTTGTAATTAAGATGAGAACTGCTTGGATCCAGCCCGACAGGCCATCCTGTGTCCAGTGTGAAACACCATTGCAGGACGACGGACTCACTCCATAAACTATTGTTCTTGAGTAAGAATCGGACTAATAACTTACGAGCAAAAAATAATCCAAACCTTTATACCGCTGGCCCCAGATATGAAATATAAAATGGTCACTGGAAAGGTAAAGACAATAGAGCCATGGCATATTTTGCGACGCATACGTTCGAATTTGTTTTCTGCACAATGTCGTAGGACAATGACATCCTAAATCGGTCTAGTTTTACTCAAAGCATTTTTAAAGAGGTAGGATGCATAGAAACTACCTTCGATGCTGACAAGTACCCCCATTATTTATATGGGCAGTTTCAATTTTCGAGTATCAGTGACTGTCCATGTTGTAGTCTGGTCTGTATGTTTTGGTGTGTTTATTGCGCTCTATCTTTAGTTGATTGATTCCAAATATTTACATCTAAATGTGCTATGTGAGTGGCATGCTTATGTTCGAAGTACACCTAAAGGAGGACGGGCAACTTTCAGTTTTAATTGAACATAATACCCCCTTAACAGAAATCTTCCCAACTGCTCTCAATCTAAAGCTGTGAAAGAAGTCACTTTCTTCTAATGCCTTTGCCCTTCCTCTCTGTGCGTGAACTCGTCTCATGTTCCAAGTTTTATTGTCCTTCTTAAAAGTATCTAAAGTGTTTTATTGGAAGGTTACACGCTATAGAACTATTGTGGTATTTGTTTTGATGCCTTATGATCTGCTCTGTAGCGCTTAGATATACTTTAGCTGATCGAATGAGGGGAAGTAAATAATCTGTGGTCTGTGGGAGTGTGTGTGTGTGTGTGTGCGTGTGTGTGTGTGTGTGTGTATGTGTGAGATGGCGTCTGTGGTGTGTGTGTGTGTGTGTGTGTGTGT